TTATTTAAGTCGTTAGCTTATGTTTTTTTACTCTATTCTCCTAAAAAATGTTCTTTTAACTCTTTTATTAAAGAGTATATACAAAGTTACACTATGAAAAGAATAAGAGTGTATTTGGTTTAGTTGATTTTATTAGTTTATAACCTTTTTTTATTAAATTGTTGATTAAGGTGTTTGAAAACATTAATTATATATTTGGATTGAGCGAAATGAAGGGTAGTGGAGAGGAAGATTTTTTTATCAATGAAGATTTTTTTATTTTTAAAATGTTATAATTTAATTGATAAAAAAAGAATTTCTTTCTCTACCTTTTATTCCATTCAACCCAAATATATTATAAAACATAAACTAATTTTAAACTAATATCAACAATTTTATCAATTATCAACTAAAAATTACAATAATTAATTGTTCTTCTCAACTAAACTAAACATAACTTAATGCTTTTGAGGAACATAAAAAAAATAAAAATAAAAAATAAAAAAAAAACACCCCTACAACATGAGCAAAGCCGCAGAGGTAGAATTAGTAAGGATGGCAATTTTCTCCGCGAACCGCGGAGGTTCGCGGAGATACCCGCCATGAGGATGGAGATTCTCAGAATATTTCTACCCATGGGGCGGGGATGGAGGCAATTTTCTACCCGTGAAATTTCGCGGGGAATTTTCTCCACCCCATGGGGAACCGTGGGGATCCATATAAAATAAATATATATATATATTTGTTTATATATATTTTTTGTACATATATTAGCAATTAATTTTTACTTATCCAATTTAATTAGTTAACCCGATTCCAACATAACTTAAATTTCACAACCCATTCTTTTATCAACTTTTTCAAACCCAATTCTCAGCCCGACCCAATTTTTTTTGTTAATCTAATAATCCTAAACCTAATTGCCCAGCCCCAATTTACAACCCAATTTATAGGCCCGATTTGCATATAACCTTAGCAGGAGGACATTTCACTCAGTCTCTCTTTTGCTTGCCGCTTCTTGCAATTGCAAATTGCGAATTTGGGAATTGGGATTCCTCATTCCTCTCTCGGTCGGTGTCGGTCTCTCCTCTCCAATCAGTCTCTAAGTCTCCTCTCCTTTAGTCCCCTGCCACTCTTGCTCAAACTCTGCCCTCATCTCCACGGATCACTATGAATTGGTGCTTCCCTTCAGCTCTCAACCTCTCATCGACTCACCATGCCGTCTCTCGGTCGGTCTCTCCGGCCAGTCTCTGAGTTTCCTCTCCTCTAATCCTCTGCCACACTCTTGCTTAAACTCTGTCCTCATCTCCACAGACCTTCACAGTGATTCCCTTCAGTTCTCAACCTCGCTGTCACTACAACCCCTGGCCCCTGTTGCCCTGCAACGCTTGCAGCTCACCTCCAGCTGAGCTCCAAGGCTGCCGTTGGGTCATCTCATCCCGCCTCTCACCATGGCACCGTGTTGTCAACCCATCACTGCAAGTCAGCAACGCTCCTCACTCACCACCGCTCACCTCCAACTTGTTTTAAAAGAGTGATCTTGATCATCTTTGTTTGCTATATAGGATTTTATAAAATTGCTATTTTCTTTTGGAATTTTGATTAACAAGTAGTGAATGGTGGGAACTCCGAATACCCGCGGGCCCCACAAGAACCTATTATTCCTCGTACCCGCCATTGACGGGGATGGAAATGGGGAGGGGGTCCCCACCCCCGTGGGGATCCGTTGCCATCCTTAAGAATTAGGAAAAAAAAAACTAAAGAAAAAGAATTACGACAAGTGGGCCAAGGGCCCATATAGAAGCTTGAATGTTAAAAAAGATAGCCCAACCCAAAAGATACAGGCCGAGTCCAACCTATAACCCGTAGTCCAGGACCCGTATCCATTCTTACACGACCGATTCCTAAACCCAAAACGGCAAAACCCCCAGAAAAACCCCGAAAATTGACGGTCGCCGCAAAACAGCCTTGAGCTAAGCTTCAATGGCGGCCAAGAACCAGCAGACCGGCAAGTCGAAGAAGAGAAAGCTCGTCGGCCCCGCCAAGGCCAATCGGGATGGTTCGGCTTCGAAAAAGCCCAAGCTTTCCAGCTCGAACCCCGCAAATCATCCAAACAAGGCGTTCAAGACGCCTCCCCAGAAGCAACAGCAACAGAAGCGGAAATTTGAACGTCCACAGATCTCGAAGTTTGAGAAATCGGAAGCTGGACAAGACAAGCCGCTCACGAAGCGAGAGCGTCGCCTCCGTGCTAAGGTTGATATGATAGTGTAATTATTATGCGGTTAACAGAATACATGCTTTGATTTGTTTTGGAAATGGTTGTTGTTGAATTTCATGGTTGAATTGTTAGTTTCATGTGTTTTGTGGTTTTATGGCAGCAACTGGCAGAGGAAAGGAAGAAGAAGAGGAAGCGGCATTACACCCTTGAACAAGTAGGTGCTATCTGTTTCTTTTACTTGCATCTGGTACATGATTATTTTGAAAGCATATAGTCTGATTGATAGCTGCACCATGAGCATGAATGTAAGGGCATTTCTAACGTTCAACCAGTGTCCTTGGTATGGTCACATGGGATATTTAAAGTTCATTAAAAGTTACAATCTTTATCATAGGTGACAAAATGAGAGAGTTTATGATGAAATTTGGATAAGAAAAGTTTTTTGTTTTACAATGTACTAGGAACTTGCATCTCTATGGGAAAAGATGAGGTGTCGAAATATTGCTAAAGAAGAGAGATCCAAGTATGTGTTTTACTTTTGCAAGACTTATGATAGTGTTACTTCTTGCTGTCTGACGTTCTATCTTTTTGCTTACTTCCATTTTTTTGCCCCCCTTTTTTTTTTTTTTGTTCTTGGAATTGTTCAAAAGGCTGATAAGTGAAGCTTTACAAAAGATGGAGGGAAAGATTCCAGAAATTGCTGGTTCCCATGTTTCTTCTCGTGTTCTGCAGGTGGTTTTTTTTTTTTTTAATCTATTTCTTTATGGGTTTAAGCTTCCTTTACGTTCAGCCACAGTAGCCTGTTATTTACCTTTTTCCACCTTAGACTTGTGTTAAGCACTGCTCACAAACTGAAAGGGATGCTGTATTTGAAGAGCTTCGGCCACACTTTATCTCCCTTGCTTGCAACACTTATGCAGTTCATCTAGTAAAGAAAATGCTAGACAATGGTAGGTTAGCTTGAAAATCAGAACTCAGAATTGACACTCAATGATTTTGTTTGAAGAGAGTGGTTTATACTTGGATCTTCTTGGTCATGTAAATCCTTTAATTCTTATTACCTAATGTTACAACTTTTATAATTTGCAGCATCTAAAACACAGTTGGCGGGGGTTATCTCCTCCCTCCATGGGCATGTGGCATCTCTTCTAAGGCACATGGTTGGATCTGTTGGTATGTCTTGCTAAGTCACTATATGTTTTAGTTGGAAGATCTCTTTCTTAATGCATACTAACAAATAGATATCTTCCTTTTTCCTGTCCTAGTAATTGAGCATGCATACCAAATAGCAAATGCAACTCAAAAACAAGAGCTCCTGATGGAATTGTATTCTACAGAACTTCAGTTGTTCAAGGACCTTGTCTCCACAAAAGAGAGCAGGTAGCATCAGTTGTCTATCCAAATAATTAATATTTCTTTCTGATCCTATCGTTGTCCTCACATACATTCAGATAATATATTATTCTACTCTGAGAAATTTTACTGAATGTTTACTTAGCCTTTTCCATCTTTCAAGACAATGTGCCAGGATACCAATCACTGATTCTCTTTTTGTTTCATTTAATAGAAGCAACTCCATTATGTACGTTTATAATTAATCTAGTGGTAACAGTTAGGGCATTTTATTTTATTTTTTTTAATTTGGGGGGGTGATTTTGAGAGCTAATGACTTTGCTGATGGACATCTTTTGAAGTCACTGGTGTTTTGGTTTGGTTCCATGACTTCTTTGGTAACATGAATTTCTCATGTAATGTTTTGGATGTATTACTCTAAGGGTGATGTGCTGCCTCAGTATGGCATGGCTTAATAATTCTTTATTATGTTTCAGGTTGGAAGATGTTATTTATAAGCTTGGCCTACAGAAAGGTTCAGTTTTACGACATATGAATTCAGTTATTCAACCAATTCTAGAGAAAGGAATAGTGGACCACTCCATCATACACCGGGTTTTAATTGAGTACTTGAGCATGGCAGATAAGGTATTTTTAAGATTCTACTTGCATTATCATTTGCTGAGGAATTTTGTTTCCAATTGTGGTAGCTTTGCCATTTGAGCATCTGTTTCTAATTAATTTGCTGGTAGATCTCTGCTGCAGATGTAATCCAACAGTTGTCGGGTCCACTTCTTGTTCGAATGATTCATACTAGAGATGGCTCTAGGATTGGAATGCTTTGTTTAAAGCATGGGAGTGCAAAGGTTTGTAGCAATTGGTCTAGAGTCTACTCTAGGCATAGCTAATAAGTGATATTTTAATGTGTTTTTGTCTGTTTTCTGATTTTGACTTCTGAGCTCTTTTGTTAATTTTTCTATTTTAGGAAAGAAAGAAAATCATAAAAGGAATGAAAGGCCACATAAGCAAGATAGCTTGTGATCAATATGGGTGTATGGTAAGGGTTTCTAACAGAACTCTGCTAATTCAAGTTTCATTCTTTTGGTTTTGGTAAATGTTCTTGATCATGTCTAGAAATGTTTAATACGGTGCTATATCTGACATGTAATTGAATATTGTTGAATTTTACTTTGGCAGTTGACTTGTAAAATGAATTTATAGACTCTGTCTATATTAATATGCATGAGGTAGCAGTTTTAGTTCCAGACCAGATGTTAATGTTGTTTAAAATGCTTTTCAGCGGAGTGTATTGATTTTGATGCATTTGTTTCAATTTATTTCACTTTGTTTTGCGGTTGTTAAACTTTTGTATAACTTTTCTTATTAACTTCAGTATATTGTGTAACATTCACTTTCAGGTACTCGCTGGAATTGTTGTGATTGTTGATGACACAAAACTTGTAACTAAGGTTGGTTTCTTTTATGAAGTGCATCATTAATTTTCCTTCTGTATTTTATGAGTTTTACTTTCTGGTGTTGCTTCTAAATAAAATTCTTGTTCTTACAGATCATTATTCGTGAGATTCAAACTGTACTAAAGCAGATTGTTTTAGATAAGGTATCTTCTTCATTTACTTTAGTACTGAAGTATTTATCATAGACTATTTGAACTTGGAAAATAATGTGCCATTCTAGCCTTGGTAAAGTAAGGAATGTTCAAGAATGAATCTTGTATCTGAACTTGTTTATTTGTTACAGCTACAGTGCCGTGGTGGATCTCCATAAATGATAAATTTGTGTTTTTAGTTGCACTCAGAATTGTGGCTTCTAATCAGCTTTGATCTGTTATTTGTAAATTTCAGAGTGGAAGACGTCTGTTGCTACAACTACTTCATCCAAATTGTTCACGTTATTTAAGTCCTGATGATCTAGCATCTCTAAATTTATCAATTCCTTCTCTTAGTGCCGAGGTAGATTGATCTTTTGTAGAACTATCTTAAGAGTGGTGATCTGATACAAATGTCCTAAATCTATGATTTTGATCCCATTTTTCAGGCTGAATCACTGACAAAGTCTGAGAAAGACTCTCAAAGGGAAGAAGGATCTGGTAAGGAGGATGCTGAGAGTGATGAGGAAGGGACAGCTGCTGAGTCTGTTGAAATAACTTCCGAGGGTGGGAAGAAGGATCCTTCCTTAAGGAGGAGGGAGTTGCTAGTCAATAGTGGGCTTGCAGAGGTTAGTTGTTCCTGTGTGAGGATATGGTGCATCATTGTTATTATCTTTTTTTGAAAAATACAAAGATCTTTTACCTTTCCTGGGATCTTTTCTGCCACATTAGGGGTGCTGCACTTGATGCTTTGGGTTCTGTTGTAGTAAATATTTGTAATTTGTATTAAAATTCAGCTTGTTTGGTTTTGCAGAACCTTGTTGACATATGCATTGAAAGTACTAGAGAATTACTTCAATCCAATTTTGGAAAAGAAATTATATATGAGGTAATTGCCTTTTTTTTTTTTTATTATTATTTGAACTAATATTCTTGGTTAAAAGACGTAAAAATCTGTTAGAGGAAACTATCTCCCAAAGTCTACCACGTCAGTTTGTTCTTATGTAACAAATTGTGGGGTGTGTTTTCTTATTGGTTGTTCAAATTAAACACTCGTTTTATTTTCTTCTTGTCTCTTGGATTGTCCGGCATTCTTAACTGTGTTAACATCATCAATTTATGACATTATCTTGATCATAATGCAGGTTGCAACAGGTGCCTCCAGTGGCATTCTCCATCAAACTTTGAATGACAAGTTGAAGAACTTGCATGAGGCTATAGCATCACTTGCAGCAGAGCCTAAATCTGAAGAATCCGAAGAGGAGCATGTCCTCGAAAACTTCCATTCAAGTCGCACCATACGGAAACTAGTCTTAGACTGTCCTGAGTTTGCTTCAACGTTATGGAAGAAAGCCTTTGAAGGGAAGTGTGAATCATGGGCCCAGGGTCACAGGTTAGGCTCATTTATTTTGTCCTTGCAATTATAATGTATGTAAAATACAAACAATGATTTAATGTCTGATGTTATAACTTGGTCCCTTGTGCACTTATTGCAGTTCCAAGGTGCTTTGTGCATTCTGGGAAACTTCAGATTCCAAGGTCCATGAATCGGCAGAAAAAGAGCTGCAGCCTTTGCTAGAGAGCGGTGTTCTCAAAATCCCTGAAACTAAACAATCAGCAAATGAAGGTTAGTTTGCAAATTGTGGCAGAAAAAACAAGGATTATAAGCTAGCCTGTTTTTCATTTAAGGCAAACAGGGTGATTTGCAAAGGTAACTGATACCAAAGTGTTCCTTTATTT